TATTTTTTGACAACCTGAGACCATGTTATAATGCTTTATTTTATACTCTTTGAACCTGGTACTTCTCCTTTAAAATACCTAATTGATTGTATAATTTGATACTTAACTTCTGACTTCATAGCAAAGTGTATGCTCCTGGGGACAGAGATTATATCGTTCACTGCTCTGTCTTTAGCAAGAAAGGAATGTTTGTGCATGGTAAGCACTTAAGTGTTTGATGAATGAGTGATCAAATAAAAGTCCTAAGGGAAGGAAGCCCTACAGTCTTCCCAGCTTATTTTCCTTTAGGAGCTGACATACCTGAACTTAGTTGCATGTTTATTTGTTCCCTTATTTATTACGTGGGTGCCCTTCTACAGTATAAGTTCCACAATGGTAGAACCTCATCCATTGTGTTTAGAAAAACAAAAATGTGTGAACACACTATACCCTCAATAAACCTTTAGAAATAAGGAGAGAACGAACGTAGTATTAAACATATTCAATAAAATTAAATAGAAATATATTAATGTGAGACAAAAATGTATTTTATAATCTAAATAAACCAGTGGTCTAAATATATTAAAATTAATATACTCACTCTCCATTCTGACTAGGTAGTAGGGTCAAAACACAAAAGCCACAGAAACAAACCAAGACTGAGACAGGATACGGCCTCTCCTGGAACCTGAGCTGGACATGTCTCTCTCTGGAAACAATTTTCATTGAAAGAGGTGGGAATACAGAGGTGGGCAAACTGCCCCGTGGTGGAGTCACAGTAGGAAAGGCACCCCAATTCCTTGGGTCTCAGGAGGAGGATGAGTAGAGACCACAGCACACAGGAAGAAAAGGGTGAGATTGGCGTCGTTATGCAACAACAACATTGACAGAGAGCCAGAACTTTCTTCTCTTCCCGAACCACCTCTCCAGGGGGGCCTTGGCTACCCAACTCTCTTGCCAGCCTCCAAGACAGCTCAGAGCCCTTGTGTGATGGCAGAGCCGCCCGGGCAACCGAACGGCAACTTGGGAGCTACGTGACCTATGCGCACGAGGAAGAGTTAGCATATTAGGATTCCAGAGCTTTGCTGTCATACTTTGCATTCACTCGTTCGTTATGTATTAATTCTATTAAAGTTTTAACTGCATGCTTGTTGCTGTACTACTGTAGATGTCTATGCCGTGTTGGGAAACCAGTACAAAAGTCTCCACTGTGGTGAGAGAGACAAAAGGTATTATTTGATGGACTAAGGACAAAGAAGGGCTTTCACATTCGTCACTGTATCGGTGATCCCCTGACCTTGTCCCAGGATATGCGACTGCCCTGAAGGGGTTGCACAGGCAGCCTTCGCCCACATCTGATGGGGCTGGCTCAGGCTGGCCTGGGAGGTGGAGATGCTGGGAGGCCAGTGGCTGAGTTCATACGGACACTCAAAGGAAGATGTTTCTCTCCACCTGGTCCAGGTTTGTTCGGCCTCTCCTGCAGACCTCAGCCCGAGAACACGTGCAAGCCTTTGGACTGACAGATTTTAACCATCAGGTCCCAATACATTTGTCCATTTCCAAAGCCTTTTAATGATAAGGTTTGTGCGCAAGCTTATTGGGGCCCATCGGGGCACCAGCGTCTGTGCTACATTGGAGGTTCCATCATGCCAATAGAGAAAACAGAAGCTCAGGGCGGCTCCAGAGTGTCTTGACTGTGCACAGAATGAAGGAACCTTTCATTCCTGTTGCACATTCTGAGTGTCTGTTACATTCCAGGCCCCGAATTGGGCCTATGCTTGAAGACCATTATTTTGCTTCTGCAATCTGAACTCTTTGTGCCGGTTCAGTCTGGCGTGCAGAAGGCAGGCGGGCGAAGGAGGGGTGTGAAAGGGAAAGCAGGGCAGGAGGGTATGAGAGACAATCCCCCGGGGCCATCCCCGGCTCCTCCCCCACGCCTGCCTCCACGGGGCCCAGGTCCTCTCCTCCGCGACCCAGGCCAGCGTTTTTCCTCCAACATCTCCCTTGAAAGGATAACAAAAGTGTTTTCGCTGGTGCTGTTGTCATGTGATCAAAGCATAGCTCAGGAAATGGGGTCCCTCCGAAGCTGTTTATCTAAAATCTCTCATTTCACCAGTTGGAACATTTTAAGAGAACATTCTGCACCTTCTCTCCCAAGGGCAAATATTTCGGTTACCTGTGTACTGGGAGCCAGGCTGAGGCCACACATACTCTGCTGAGGAAATGAAAACACCAGAACCTTTCTCTCTGTGCTTTCTTTCTGTCCACTCCCCCCGCCCCTCAGCCTGGTCTGCTCCCGCACAGGAAGTTTAAGTGCTTCAAGGCAGGGACGATGTGAAGACAAAAAGCCCTAAAACCAAGATTCGGTGGGAGTGTTTTTTATTCCTGATAAAAAACAGAGTCCCTTTTCTGGGTTATTCAGATGAGCTCAGAGTAAATATTTACCCTTTCAGCTAATGGGTCTGTTCTGCAAGCCAGGGGAGTCCCAGACAGCCCAGCTGATGGATCGCTTTTTGCTTCCTCCGCCCTGCCCAGGGTAGGACTGGGCGAAATTCTGTGGCATGGGGAGCCGTTTCCTGTGGCATGTATGAGGCACCACATTCGTCTTGGTGTCAGGGCAGGGTGGATGTGAGGGAAGGCCTCGCAGGGACCTCCCAGCTACAGCTCTCTGAAATGATTTAACAGTCATATCGTCAGTGTTCCCAGGAGGAAGATGGATGGTGGGTCGCAGCCCTCCCCCTCCCCTTAGGTTTGAATGGAGTACTTTGTTCGCTGGTGGTTTCAGGGTGGGTAGCGCTCATACCACCCACACCCCCGACACGCAGACGCACACACAGACACGCATACGAAAATTTACATATACGAATAAAGGAGACAAATACGTGTGGACACACCGCACTGAGACTTTTTGAGGGCGGAGGCTCTTCCTTATTCATATTTGTGTTCTTACATTGCCTAGCAATGCCTGGCACGGAGCAGATGGTTAATACATACTTTTCGAATGAATACACCAATAATTATAACTGTTAACATTTATTTAGCACTTAATAGGTGCCAGGTGTTGAAGGAAGGCTTCATAAAACAAGCTCTTATTTAACCCCCACAACAGACCATTAAATTGGGTGCTGTTACTCTTCCCATTTCGCAGACATGAAAAGTGAGGCCTGGACGGGCAAAGTGGTTGATCCATGGTCACACAGCTGCTCCATGCTAGCAAGAGACATCTGGCTTCAGAGTTTATTCTCCTAATGCCTTCCCCTACAAACTCATGCATCCAGTGTATCAGTCAAAAAAACATTTCTACAGATGTCACATATAAATAGCAGTAGTTTTATCACCCAGGTGTTAAAACTTGACCTGGAGGCCTTGATTGTGTCGTGTCTCTGTCTCAGACTTGCCTTCCTTGTCTGGCCTTCCGTCCCCGATGGCCAGACACTCAGCGGAGGGAGCAGTTCAGAGGAGGAACTTCGCATCTTGACGTGGTAGGGAAAGAACCTTGGATTCCGCTGCCTTTGAGCAGCATAGATATTTTCCCAAAGAGCAACCTGGTAGGTTCCTGACTGTGTCAGTTTTTTAACAGTGACAAAACAAATTGTCCCAGACTTGGGGTTTTAACACCACACTCGTTTATTATCTTGCAGCCTTGTAGGTCAGGAGTTCTGGGCTGAAATTGGGCTCTACTCAGGGTATATCACAAAGCCAGACTGAAGGTGTGGGCCAACTGGTCTCTGCAGGCTTTGGAAGAGAGAACCTGCTTTCACGCTCGTTCAGGGGTCGGCAAAATTTACTTTCTTGCAGCTGTAGGATGGAGGTCCCTGCGTCTTTCTGGCCTGTCAACCAGGAGCTGCTGTTTGCTTTTAGGAGCTGCCCATGTCCCTTCTCATATGGCCCCTTCCACCTCCAAACAAACAGAAGCGTGTCCATCCCTTCTTGCACTTGGAATCCTTCTGGTTTTGTCTTCTGCAACCTGCCAAAGAAAGCTTTCTCCTTCTAACAGCTTGTTTTAAAGGTTGTATGGAGATTTATCATAGGGATTGGTGATTAGATTAGAACCACCTAGGTAACTTCCCTTGAAGGCTAACTATGCCATACAACATAACAACACAATTGGAGGAGTAATTCACACGTTCTTGCTATACTTCCCTTGATGATAACTGAGGGCAAAGTTGGGAGAAAGGTTGATAAGGAGGCAGAGAGGACCAATTCAGGCACGCCTTGGTAGTGGCCAAAGAAGAATGAAGGGATGGCATCAATAATTAAAAAACAAGTCAAAGCACATCAGAGTAGAGCTGAGGATTTAAAAGGTGGCACTTAGAAGGCTTTTGATCATGTCTATCTGAGCACCGGCTGTTCAGAGTGAACCACAATGTTTCATAGAAGGAAGCCGTACCTTCCTCGCTTATGTAAGGATAATTCACACCTGTGGGCTCCTTTCTGAATTCCAGGCACTGTCCTAAGTGCTTTACTTGTATTCATTCATTTTATCCTCCAACAAGTGTATGACATGAGGATATTATCTACATTTTACAGATGAGGAGATGAGGAACAACTAGATTAAGAAAATTGCTAAACGTTAGGCAGCTGGTAAGTGTTACAGTCTGCGGAAGTAAACAACGTAGCCCCTGAAATGGTGTTGAACCATTACACTAGATGCATCTGGTATCAAAGCCATTTAGAGATATGCAAGAAAGGACTGGAACAAAAAGTGGAACATCACATAGGAGACTGTAGCTCTCTGACATGGGCTAAGGCTGACAGGTGTCAGAGTGGCATGATGGAGAGAGCCTAGGATCTGGACTGAGAAGATCTGGGGTTAAGCTGCAGTCACGAATCTTGAAGCTTTTGACCTTGGGCAAGTCATGTCAGTTCTCTGAGCTTCTGTCTTCTCATTTACAAAATGGGGATAAAAACATCTTCTCAGTTATTAAAGGAGTATCATGTGGTTCACTGGTATACAGATATCCTTTTAATGAGTTTTGTAAATCTCAGACAGTATTTTCATCTGATATTTGTGTTTTGTTCCAGATCCCAGGGGTGATGCGCTGCCAAGATCAGTCTTGTTGGGTAAGAACTTTTTTTTATATATCCTTAGGCCTTGACTCTTGCTCACCTATAAGTTTCATATCAATCCTTAAAGAATGACCTTTCATTCCAACTTTTTCTTAGTCTGCCTTTGTGTTTCCCTTCACACATGTGAAGCTGGTAGGAGTCAGTGCCCTTGAGAAATTCCACTGCAGATTAGTGGACGGTATTTTCATTTCAATGTGTGGAGATTTATTGTAGGAATTTGTTCAAGAAATGGTGGAGACCAAGAAGTCCCACCATCTGCTCTCCGCAGGCAGGGGCCTCAGGCAAGCTGGTGGAGAGGTTCAGTCCTGGTCCAAAGCCCTGACACCCAGGGAGCTGGGAGGGGCAGCAAAGGCTGATGGGAGTCATAGGGGCTCTCAGTGTTGTCCGTAGATGAGCAGAAGGGACAGTGGACTGATGGACTGGGGAGCTCAGGGAAAAAAGTGGTGGGCAGAAACAGCAGCTTTGGAAAAGAGAAAGGAAGTTGAGTAGACACATGTTCGAGTTATCGAAAAGCACTTAGAGCCTAGATAAAACTGAAAATCATACATTTGTTAAATTAGTGTGATTATGCCATTTCCTTCCAATCGGTCACAGCTGGGGAACAGAAGCAAAAAGTCCCCAGTGTTTGCTTGAAGCTCAGAATGAAACAAGTATTTATTAAACATCTATAATTTATTCATCTATTCTTATAAAAATATTTATTGAATACCTGTGTTCCAGAACTGTTTTAGACATTGCCAATGGTACAATAATATGACAGAATAATTCTCTTTCCTGATGGAGCTCACAGTTTTGTGGTAAGAAACAGAATTGTAAAGAGGCAAATGATAATTACAAATTGAAATTTATGTCATCAACTATATATATGTATGTATGTAAACAGATATGAACATAAATGTAGATATTGATGTGTGTATGTGTATCTCTATCTAAAAGCACATTGAATTATCATACTGGCTTGTGAACCACTGTTCACTCATTTTATTAATGAGGCTCAAAGAGTTGAAAAATCTTTCTTGAGGTTACACAGATATAAAAGTCAGAGTCAAGATTTTACCCAGGTGCTCTAATCCCTGGCCAGAATTCAGTCTGTGGTTTCACCAAACTGTACTACTGAGCTCCTTGGCAGGGTGGGGAAGTGGAAGGTAAGAGAGAAAAGGAGAGGTTGGTATTGATGAGTGAACCAGGAATGACCAACCAAAAGAGGAAAGAGATTGTGAAACCAGAAAAGGGAGGGAGGTCCTGACTTGGAAAACAGAGAAAAAGGGTCAAGAGTCTGCAGTTGTCCTGGAGAGTTCCCAGGATATCGACAGAGGGAGGGTGATGCGGGGTATGTGGATAGACTGTGGTCTGGTCAAGTGCTCATTGGTATTCTCCTGGAAAACTATGGTTTGGCATTTTCTTGTGAGCGTCTACTTTATGATGGTGTTGGTCTTTCATTGATGAAGGCTATTCTCTTATTCCTAGTTAAGTTTCTGGGGCTCATCACAGCAGGGTACATAGTAGGTCCTCCATATATTAACTACCTTGATTAATTCAGATGTTTATAATGCACCTAGCAAATGGTAAGTGCTCTAGAATATGAAGGGAGTTCCATGAACACTGTTACTGCTCTTGCTGCTTCCCCCCCTCCAAATAAGCTAGTGACTTAAAAACTGAAAATGTACTATATTTATTTGCAGGGAGGGAGGGCCTCTGGTGGTTTGTTTACCTGTAGAAGAGGCAATTTCCTAGGCCCTAAGGTATTTACAGTTAGAGAAAAGAGAATCTCTTTGTCGATAATAAAACTCTTGATGAGGCATTTGATGAATGCACTGGAGATACTTTAATGAGCCAAACCACAGCCTCTTCAGTTTTGCTTCCTCTGACTTACACGGAAGAGCAGTGTTTTTTCTTTTCCCCTCAAAGACCTTCATGTTAACGTTCCAACTCACTCAGCATCACCTGAGTCAGCACATCATTGGAATGACGGTCTAGTTCAGTGAACAAGCAGAATGGTTTATTTATAAGCCCCTTTCCCAATGGGATCCTGGGAAAACTGCTGTCCTCTGAAGTAAATAAAGGTCAGAATGCCTTAATATATACTCAGTGGAAACTATAGTGATGGTTCTTTTGCAATGGGTGAGATTGCAAACTCTGAATTATTCTTGGACATGTTGGCACACAATTCTAGGGAAGCTTGTGCCATATGGAATCCCTACACTCAGCAATTTTCTTATCTACTGGGCCCACCCGAGGTGACACTCTTACGTGTTCTGGTAGAATAGCTTCTTATTCGGGGTCTCTGCCTTCACGCTCTCTGCCCGCCCCCACTCCCTTCTACTCGTCCAAGAAAGATCTATGGTCTTTAATCAATGTGAACCACCTCACCACCACTCCATAGAGCTTAAGGCATCACATTAAAAACTATCTCTTCTTGTTTGCCATGCAGTGAAAATTTACATCACCATTCATCCTTCAGTACCTAGAACTTTTGAATTCTATGCATCTGGTACAAATATGGCGTGCACAGTATTGGTTGTGTAGATACATGGACATGTAAGCAAAACGACATGTAAGCAACTTCTCTAACAACTCTAAACAGTAAGTCCAGCCCCTGGTCTGCTCAAGTTCCCCCAAGGATTCCATGATCGGCCATTGTCGACATGCCTCACGTGTTGGTCCTCAGTTTATTTGAATCCTCCTCATCTTTAAAGTCCCATTCACCCACCATCCTCTCCCAAAAGCCAGTGCAGATGTGCTCTGTGATACAATCTCCTTTGAATTCCCGCCACAAACTCACCCACCAACACTTACACTGTGATGCTAACTATCAGCATGTTAAGTGGGTTTTAAGGAAGTGAGAGCTTTGGATTTTACATTCCCCACAGGGTCTGATAAAGTCCTGGCCGCCAGGAAGTGTTTTCGTAAATGTTTTGTTTAACAAAATCATAGTAAAATGGGTACCAACCCCTGTGAACTTCCAGTTTCTCCCATCACAGCGATGAAAGGATATTTACCAGAAAATACCTTCTCCAGTTTGAGAAAATATTGCAAGCCAAGAGAACTGCTTGGCCCAATTCTAAGTAGCAAGGTTCCTTATCACCTATGGAGACTGGGACAAACAGGCTTTTTTTTTTTCTTTCTTTTCTTGTGCTTCTGGGCATTATTCTCAGGGTCCTCGAACTTCTGAAATCCTGCCTGCAGGAATACTAAGTGTGCACGTGCCTCCCTCGTCCCCAACAGCTACATACACACGCCCAGTCTGTGGAACTTAACCACACCGAGTCTCGTGAGCAAGGATCCGAAAGTGGGAGGAGACAGAGAAATGCACAGGAGAGCCACAGAAGCACAGTTCCAGAACGGGTTCTGTGCTACTGAAAAACAAGGCCAAGAGCCTTTCTTACAGGACAGAGGTTGGCGATATTTCTGGTGCATTGATTGGAAGTCATCCAATAGAATCCTAAATGCCAAGGCCTGAAAGCTTATCTCCTCCATTCTTTCCTTCCTCTTTGAGGCTGGCAGAATCGAAACCTGGGATAACACCAAAGTATTTTTAGCCGTGTTTATTGATCTTTTTTTTTTTGTCCTTGGAAGATACTGTTTTCTATTATAACCCCAAAAAACAACAAATGAAAAGAGCCAGCTGCAGCAAAATCTCATTTAAGCAGCAACATAATGATAATGATATTAAAATAATCATATGTTAGGCAGTATCTGGAGTTCAATACTTGGATCTTCTGGCATAATGGATCTCTCTGGAATGCTTTGCTGCTGGAATAATGCCTTTGACTGAGTGTTCTGTAACAAAACTATTAGGTAAATAAAAATTTTAAGATGCAGCGCACTTACACGCTGGCAAAGCACAAGCAGTACTAGAGAGGGATAGTCAATATCAATAACTGCCATTGGTGAAACCATCAGAGAAAGCTGAAAATGTGTGTGTGCGTTAGAGTCTTTTTCACTCTCCAGACTTTCTAGCTCTGTCAATAACATCGCCATTCATGGGCTGTAGTGGCTTGTCGTCAACCATTGCCGCCCGGTACCTGTTCAATACCAGGGACTAGACGGGCTAGATTTTATGACTTTGCTTATTCCAGTGAAATACTGAGCCTGAGAACTTGTTTTCTTTTTCTCATAGACACACTCACCAGCAAAGCTCTATTTGTGCCCTGGCCTAGAACACTGTAACATCCTATACCTGGCTTATCATTCATTGTCTGGTGCATGTGTGTGAAAGAGGACATACTTTCTTCTCCTAGAGTTTCTACCTGGGCCCATAAAATAGATTTTTTGCATTGTTCTCTTGGAAGTAGCTTTGACCCTTCTCTCTACTCCTGCCCTCGTTTCTCCCCATGGGAGGAGGAATTTTGTAGAAGGTTTATGAAATTGGTAAGGTATTAAATATGCATTATCTGAGCTTCTTTTGTTGTTTATTTTGCAGAGTGGCTTGTTATTTTTCCTTGTTTGTTTTGCAGAGTAGCTCTGTGTTATGGGGCAGCCCATGATTCCACAGAAATGTCTGTTCCTCAGGAACTGTATTACAAACCTGGATTATGGTAATTACTTACACTGTAGTCTCCAACCCAGTTCCAGCCACAGTAAATAGGCAAATTGGATCTCCACCTAACTGGTTTCAGGATCAGTCCTTACTATAACACATACTTGTGAGCCAGTGTTCACTCTCGTCTTACAGATGAGGCTCAGAGAGGTTAATTGTAGTATTTCCTCCTGTTGTCCCACAGGTAGGAAGTCAAAGCCAAGATTTGAATCTCGGTGCTATGATTCCAGGCCAGTGCTCATGTTAAGTTTTCACCAAGCTACACTACAGCGGCTCCCTGGCAGGGTGGGGAAGTAAAAGGTTAGGGGGAAAGAGATCGATTGGTATTGATAAGAGTGAACCAGAAATGACCAACTAAAAGTAGCAAAAGATCAGAAAGCCAAAAAAGAGAAAGAGGTCCTGACTTGGAAGATAGGGAGTCGTGGGTTTGCAATTTTCCCGGGGGATTTTCAGG